AGACATCTGATGCAAATGATGAGGTTCCTAGCCAAGCTGTGAATGATAGAGTCATCAAATACACCTTTCAAAGAAAGAGGAAGAGAGAATCGTTGAGTGTATTAGAAGAGAATGCTCCAATCGAGAAGAACTCTTCAAAGGAAATAAATGGAAAGAAACAAAATGATGATCTAGAGCCAAAAATGACAAGTTCCGCGACAGAATCATCACGAGACAGTCGCCGAGTGGCACAGGTTGCACGGCAGGTTGGTTATTCACCTATTCTGTCATCATAGATGTTCTGATGCATGTCGATGTTTATGCATGCATATATATACATAATATATATATATATATATATATATACATATATATATATATATATATATATATATATACTTGAGGTTTGTATGAATACGACATATGCATATTGCTATTTGTATGAATATGCTTGGTGTTTTCCTATTGAATGAAAAAGAATTCAGGACATCTTTAAAAAGTTTAGCAGCTGATGTTATAATAGGTACCGCATTTGGCAGTATTGTTCTAGTATCTTGCTAAATTGCCAACTTCATTGATGTGTAACTTCTAGCTCTCGAGTTTTCGAAGATTTTCATTTTCTGAAAACTCCTTTTTAGGGAACGGCGAGGGTTGATCCCCCTCATCACCTTCTACCTTGCCCTTTATTCTATGAGAGAAACTAGCGTAGTCTTTCAATTACAGGATTTTTATCTTATTTCAGGAAGTTGTTCCTGAAGAGTGTTGGTGCACATCAAGAGACCCAAAGTTGGTGAACCAAATGTTTGTGATAACCAGTTAGGTTTTCAACTATGGTTAGAAAGTTGTATTTCAGGGCATTACCAGTTATTCAGTTAGTCACATGTTTCTTCTCAGCTATTCTTGTGTGGCTAGTAAACCCCTTAAATTCTTAGAAAGACTAAAGAATTATGCATACTCAGTGAGTGATTTTATGCACATGGAGTTTCTCATTATGGAACAAAATATTTCCTCCAGGATAGAACTTCCAAGGAAGAACTTTTTAGAGATTATGAAGGTATGAAACCAAGTGTTTGCTACGAGTAGCATGTTTTAGCTGGTTTGAATATTGAGGTTGTACTATATTTAAGTAAGCGCTAGCAGGTCGTCTTGATGTTCTTCTCATTTTATCTGTACATTTGTGTGCTGCAAAGCTTGATAAACGCCGATGGTTACTCACTCATGGTTGCTCATCTTCTCTATTTGTTTTTGGCAGCTAATTTCGTTGTCTGAGAAGAAGTGGTGGCAGTGAATAAAGAGTTCACATCTTCCGCGGTGAAACATCATGACTAATGCCATCTGGCACATGATCTCTACCCTTTGCAGATCATTCATGAAGAATTTGACAGATAAGGAGTGAGAGTTGTTAATTTTAAGGCATGGCTCTAACAACATTGTATTGTTCGGATGCCGTCGAACTAAGATATATAATTTTCAAACTTAGACATTGTTCAGCGTTACTGTTTAATTATTTTTATAATGAATCTCAATATTCAGATGCATCTTTTGGTTTCTATATATAGTGGTTACTTTGATGACTAGTAATCTCCGTCATACCAAATAGCTGCTGATTTCTGTGCTTCGGGTGATTGAATTCCTTGAGGTGTTTGTTATTATTGAATTCCTTGGAATTTGTGAAAAATTGCCCAATCAATTGGTACCCGTGTGTCCGTCATTTGATAGCTGAGTTATTCATCGAGTTGGTGTACACATAACGCATTGTATTTGAAACAAGTGATTCCATGCACCAACCCATTTAAAAGCTAAAACAAAGAATGAAAGGTAAATATAAGGTAAAGCATATTCTGAGAACAACGCCCTGAAAATGAACGCCTACTTATGGATGGTTTGAAAAGGAATGATAGTTATTTGATGCACAATTTTCTCGCTTTCACAATTAAGAGATTGATACAGTACGAGCTTTTTCTCTTTTTCCTTCGGGACATGAAGCACCAAATTCTCTAGAGCAACACTTAAATTACATATTACAACTCCACAAACAATGCAACCTTATCTTTTGAAAAGGGGAATTGGATTAACAACAACAACAACAACAACAACGACCCAGTATAATCCCACAAGTGGGGTCTGGGGAGGGTAATATGTACGCAGACCTTACCCCTACCCCGAAGGGTAGAGAGGCTGTTTCCAGGAGACCCTCGGCTCAAAAGGCTCAAAAAAGCAATAGGAGATAATATATTAGTACCATAAAAATGCGTAATAAAATAACAACAATATATAGGAGATACGAAATATGAAATACAGGATACGAAATACGAAATACGAATTAGATGGCTGGTATAGTACAACTAGAAGGTAAAGCCCTGCATCAATAGACGACCACTGACATTCCTAGTCTAACTCCTAACTAGATAGTCTCTCTCAGTTGTGCTGTAGAAATATTCACCCTCTCCCCTAACCTACAACCTTAATGCTCGACCTCCATAATTCCCTATCAAGGGCCA